TCACTTTCACCTCCAGAGCCATCCGGGTGTAGTGGCCAATATAGATCAGGGCGACCACTTAGAGGCTCAATGCCACTACTGATTGGCAGGGCAGCTTTGACCTGCTCAGTTTCCGACTTGCTCCTCCATGCATATACCCAACTGGCTTTAGCTTATTGCAGAGCCAAACTCCTGCCTCCCCAGTCGCAGGGTTCACAGGCTTGCATCACTACACCCAGTATTTTTCAGATGTTTCATTGCCATTCTTTTCTTTCTTTTCTTACCTTTTTACCATTACTATCACTGCCCACCAACTCCACCACCACTCCCAAAGCTGTCCTTTGTAGTAAACAAGTATAGTCAAGGAAAACAAACCTACTCAGTGGCTGTATCTTAAAAACAGGTTTTACAGACCATCACTTCTCTGCCAAGAGATGAGGTACATGCTTATCTTTAGTCTTCTGAAGTGTAATTGGTTATTGAATTGATCAGTGTTCTTAAATCCTTCAAAGTTGTTTTCCTTTACATTACTGTGGTCATTATATAAAATTTCTTTCTTGTGTATTAGTTCAAATAAGTCTTCATGGGTTTCTCTGAATCTGTCCTTTTTATTGTTTCTTACACTGTAAAATTAAGGATTCTAAAAAACAGAAGTGAGAAAGGAGCATATCCCAAGCATAGGGCAGCTTGTGGGTGGTGATTATTGTCCTTCCTTTTCAAAGAGGACCAAAATGACATCACCATGTTGGGGTCCAAGTACAGTGTGTCCGACTGTGGCTGATCAGATCAACAAGCTCGGAGGGCTCTACCACAAGTCGGGCACAAAGGGTTCATATGAACATCTGGAGTGGAGATGTCTCTCAAATTTTCACATCTCACATTTCTTTTGAGCTACTGCAATCTGCTTTGCTCATAGAGTATAGCGCCTTCTTTGATGCAGGTACGCCATACTGAGTGTTCCAGTGCCAGTGTCTCCCATGTCTCAGAATCAGTTCCAAAGTTCTTCAGAGAGATCTTGAGAGTGTCCTTGTATTGCTTCTTCTGACCTCCATGTAAGCATTTGTCTTGTGTGATTTTTCCATAAAATAGTCTTTTAGGCAAGCATAAGTTTGGCATTTGAACAACATGGCCAGCCCATTGGAGTGATGCTCTCAGCAGCAGAGTTTGAATGCTTAGCAGTTCAGTTTGAGAGAGAACCTTAGCAGCGTTTGGTATTGTCAAGATATTCGGAGGCAGCACTCTGTTTTCCAGAGCTTAGGTCCAGCAAGTAGGCTGTGCCCTGAGCTGGGCATAACAACAATCCTTTGCACTCACCCTCTGGATGATCTCAGCCACAGAAAAATCCCAGGATTGTTTCTGGTCATGAAGTCCTGCTATGAATCAAACTTGCCACATGGTTGCTATTACCCCTCATTGTCAGGGCTACAGCTGACTGTGCAGCCATAAGTATAAGTATCGAGATCTCCCCACAATACAATGGACCCCTCACTAGAGGCAGGGCTCCAGGAGGTACCTTTGCTTGCAAACATTTTCTTCACTTTGAAATTAAACTTCTGTTTGATTCCTGACTCTCCTGTCTCTGACTTACTTTGTTCAGCTCCTGCCAACTACAGGTCAGAGACCAGGTCCAGTCTGATTGACAGTACCTTATCTTGCCAGGTGATCTTCAGAATCTTGTAGCTTATACAAAAGTAAGGAGACCAGAAATGGAACACCAAGTATGAGGAACGGCAAGTAGTCCAAAGTGACTGGAAAGAAATTAAGTCAGAATAATTTTAATCCCTTTCCCCTTGACAATCTTCAAGGGGAAGCACTTAAAGACAGGTACTGTCTTCTCTTTTCCAGGCAAAGCATTTCTAGCTCCCTCAAATGACTATGTGACATTGTTTCCAAGACCACTCACTATCCTGGTTTCCTTCCAGCTTGTCAAAGTCCTTGCTAAAATATCATCCTGAGAACTGAATACTCCAGAAAACAATACTGACCCTGACAAACTTCCTAACTGGATGACCCTAGCCATTCACTCACCTCTCAGAGCCTTATTTTCTTTTCTACAAAAAGAAGATAATAACACAATACCTGCCTCTCAGGGTTGTTGTGAGGGAATTACTTTGTAAACTCCCGCAAAGAAATGAGGTTTATTCCCCAGCAGCTAACACAGTGTTCTACACACAGTAAGCAATTTTAATACAAATTTGTTGATCATTAATTTAATAAGGTCTGAGTGAGGAGGGCCAGAGGAAAACTTGGAGATCTCTCTGCCTCCAATCTCTCCCTTTTCCAATCCATTCTTCAGCTGATGAATTAATCTTCCTAAAATAGAGATATTATTATGTTTCTCCCCAGCTCAAAAATGTCAAGGACTCCTTCTCCTGCCTTGTCTCCCATTACACCTCTGCAAGAACTCTATCAGCTCTTCCCTTAACTCCATATGCCACCTCCAGAGAGGCATGGTGGTTGCTTTGATGCCAGGATGACCTGGATTCAAGTCTTGCCTCTGATACACACTAGTTATGTAATCCTGGACAAATCATTTTATTTCTAAGTGCCCCCAGACAACTCTTGAATATGCCTACAAGTTGCAGAGCAGGTGCTGATGTGCATTAGTAGAAGAAGTTTCAGTATCAGTGGGTGAAATCACAAGTCTGATCCCCCCCACATACACATACATATAGTGCCTCAAATATTCAAATGAGCTTGATTTGAACGCTCGATAGAACATGTATTCACAAAATTATTCCTGCAGAAAGCTTTTGCTGACCATTCTCCATTATTAGTATTCATTCTTCTCAAATTACTTATTATTTACTTATCTATTTACAAGTTATAACACCCTAGTGGAATGTAAGCTCCTTAACTATTTTCATTTTTGTCTTTGTCAGAACTGTTACAGAAGCAGGGTTCAGCTTTATAAGACCCAAATACTTCCTACTTGAACTGGGAATGCTGACCTTACCACCTAGTTTGCAATCAAGCAATCTGAAACCAGCCGGCTGGTCCTTGTGCTAGGGTGTTAAGGTTTTTGTTGTTGTTCAGTCTTGGCAAAGATACTAGGGTGGTTTGCCTTGACCTTCTCCAGCTCCTTTTTACAGATGAAATAACTTGGGCAAACAGGGTTAAGCGACTTGCCCAGGGTCACATAGCTAGTTGTGTCTGAGACTGGATTTGAACTCAGGAAGATGAGTCTTCCTGACTCCAGGCAGGGCACTCTATCCACTGCACCACCTAGCTGCCAATACAACCCCAACCCTTAAGGAGATTACAAGAATTTGTGCAGGAAATAAATGTGCATCTATAGTTATACACACAAAATAGTGTGTATATCTATCTATATAGATATCTAGATATAGATATAGAGTATGGACAGAAAGATCGACATCTTGATGTAGGTAGCATATATAGTATATATGGATATATAGATATAACTCTATATGTATCTCTATACATACACACAAACTATTTTGTGTATAACCATGAATATACATGTATTTAATCTCCTTAAGGGCTGGGGCTGTTTTGGCTTTTGTCTTCATGTCCTCAGCACTAGCACAGTGACTGGCCCATTGCAGATTGCTTGACTGCAAACAAGGAGCTGAGATCAAGATTCCAAATCCTGTTAGGAAGTATCTGTGCCTCGTAGCTGAACCCTGCTCTAGAAATAGTTCTGACAAAGACAAAAGTGAAACTAGTGAAGTTACATTCCACAAGAGGGATACAACACGTAAACAGATAAGTAAATAATATCTATCTATCTATCTATCTATCTATCTATACATATATAGTATATCATAGGGATCTGAGGGGAAGGCCCTAGCAAGAATAATGTTAGAATAGGAAGTTATCTTGAAGTGTGCAACTAGCCCACTCAGTCCTTACTCTCACCTGTCCTAGCTCCAGGGGTTTCTGTCTTAGCCCATAGGGAGATATCATAGGGTCTCTGTCTTTCCCTCCTTCTCTCTGTGCCTCTGTCTCTATCTCAATCTGTCTCTCTGTCTCTCCGCGTGTCTCTATCTCGGTCTGTCTCTCTACCTCTGTCTGTGTCTCTCTTCTCTCTCTACCTCTTCTTTTCAAAGTTACCTTGTGAGCATTTCGTCGCAGGCGCTAGAGCGCTGGTCTCCCGTAGCCCGGACACCTTGCACACACTGCAGACACTTAATGACCTCGACAAACATTCATTAACCACAGATACAGAATAGATCCTGTCTGACTAGTAGCTCTCTTGGTGACCCCTGGGCAAGTCTCTTAACTCCCAAACTGTAAGTTACTAACAAGTTGCGGAAGTTGTTTCCAGCGCGGGGAGGTCCGAACGCTGAGGAAACCACCGCATTCAGAGATACTGAATTCAGTTCAGGGATACATTTGTAAAGACTACGAATTTTGTTGGCCCGGAATGGAGTCCAGAGGACGAGGGTTTGGATTGCCAGCCTTTGCAGCTTCCTCCTTGAATGCACTCAGGCCATCAATCTTGGATCTCGGCTGTTTTCCAATCCGTAAAACGAGGAGGGCGGGGCGGAGGGGGGGGTCGGACTGCCAGGTCTAAACCTCATTAGAAAAGCACTTCAGGTCTCCCCGCCACGCAGGATTTAATGTGCGTGGGGGACCATCTGGGGATTTCCGCAGGACGTGCACGCAGGCAGCGCCCCCCTTCTATTGTTCCTGCAGAGTCTGGGATTTGGCGGGAAACTACAAGCAGGCGGTTGTTTAAGGATGCGGGATGCCGCTCACTAACCGACCGGGACTGCAAGTGGGGGAGAGGGAGAAAAGGCGGGATTCGGAGGCGGTTAGGGGCCGGAGAAAGGAACAATGAATGAGTTAGTAAATGAGCGAGCGCGACACTGGACAGGGGGAGTGGGGGAGGGGAGGAGCGGCGCGCGCCCGCCCGCCTGCTCTCGCGGAAAAAGGAGCCGCGCACGCGACCCCAAGGACAGCCCCCGATCTCGGAGAGGCAGCGGCGAGGGCGGGGTGGAGGGAGGGCTTCAGGGAGGAAAAGGCACGGGCGAAGGGCCAAGACGCCGCAGGAGCGGGGAGGGGGAAGAAAAGGGGGCCGGTCTCGCGAGAACAGGAGGTTGCCGTAGCGGGGCGTCGCGAGCTGGGTGCGAGCGGGCGCGTGCGTACGTGCGTGCGTGTGAGAGGACCCGCAGCAGCCGCGCGCGGACGGTTTGCTCTGGCCCGTTAGTGCCCATCGCGCCGCCGTCGCTGCTGCCGCCGCCGCCGCCTCGCGCCCTGCTCGCCACCGCCATCGCCATGTCCCGCTACCTGCGTCCGCCCAACACGTCGCTGTTCGTGAGGAATGTGGCCGACGACACCAGGTGTGTGTAAGTGGCGGAACCCGGGGCACCGCGGGAGGCAGCGGGAGGCGGCGGCGGAGGCGGAGGCCGTAGGGGCGGGGGCCGCGGCGGCGAAGGCTGTAGGGGCGAGAACAGGGTCCGGAAGAGGCGGGGGCCGGGGCGCAACATGGCGGTCTTGCCCAGGCTCCCGAGCTAGGCCGCAGGCGGAGGCCCCAGGCCCGGCCTCCTCCTCCCCCCCCATTCGCGGGCGCGCGCACACACACTAACACATACTCACCCACCAGCACGCACGCCCGCCGAAAACGCAGCCTCTTTGATCACGAGGGCACCTTCCCCGCCGTTGGCGCCCCCTCCCGACCTCGAGTTCGTTGGGCTGGGCGGGGGGAGGGGGTGTCCTGGGCCTGCTGAGAGGAAGAAATGCCCCCACGGTGCCCGCCTTTGGGTGAAAATAACGGAGGGAGATGGGGGGGTGGGGAGGGGAGCCGCCACTCCTCCTGTTGTTTCAGTGTCCGGGTTTGGTTTTCAGTTGATCACCCACACCCCATCCAAGCTTCGGGGGAAAGAATTTAAATTATGTCTTGGTGGGTTTTTTTCTCTTTACTCCCCTCTTTCAGTTTTTTTTTTAATGAGATTGGAGAAGCTTAAACTGTCCGGGAATGTTGTAAGATTATAAATGGTCTACATCATAAATAGGCTTTCGAATTACGAGACACGACTCTAATGGAATCAGAACCCTGTCTTTTTTTTTTTTTTTGGAAAGATCTTATCTTTAGGCTACTGAAACATAATATAGCTTTAAAAACGTTAGGGTTCCTAGTTTTCTTCAAAAGGATTGGAGGAGGGGACGGTTTATGTTGGCACTGCCATGACTTGGAGGAAAAAGAAAATCTTAATTCTTCCCTTTACCCATTAGGCCTTATGGGGCTTATGTAAAAGCATATTAACAGATTGCTCAGGATTTCAGGAGGGGGATCAATATTTGGAACCCCGTAGTATGTAGGATTTGGATGTTTCAGTTTTGTACTGTTCAGCTTTTCTTCGATCATTATCCACCATTGGAATTTTTTTAATCTTTAGAAACAATAATAAAAATGCTTAAATGTTTTCCTGAAAATTGAGCTTATTTGGTGCAGCAGAAAAGAAAATGTCAGATGTCTTTTGTTGTCCATGCTTGTTTTTGTTTAATGATGTGGATAGAAGCAAAACTAATATCAGTTATGACTAAATTTTGTTGATTAGTAAATTACAGGTAGCAGTCTTTTACTTTTCTTACCAAATAGGATCAAAGATATTTCAGAGATGGAAGGAACCTTATAAAAATCATTTTCTCCATTCCTTTGGTCCCTAATACTAATAGAATATAAAATATGTTCAGTTTGTATTGTAAACTGAATTTGTGTATTTTAAAATAACGTCTCCATTTTACTTTTCCTTTTTTTTTTTAAAGGAATGTTTTGAGTTAGGCCATCTAAGGACTAGGAAGACCTGGACTGGTCAAACCACTTTTTTTAGTTTTATAGGCAATTCTCTAAGACTATTAAGTTGCAGACAAAGTGCTTCTTATCTGGGAAATTTCACATCCAGTCCCTATCCCATTTATGTGCATTTTTAGAGCTAGAAAGGAATTTGGAGAATATGTTAGCCCCTGCATTCCTCAGATGAAGAAAACTGAGGCTTTGAGAGAGTTTAAGTGCCAAACGTTACTGCACAGCTGGTAAATAATAGAAGAGAATTCTTTCTCCTGGCTTTAAGTCTCTGCTGTGTGACTCCTCTTCACTTTTTTGAAAGCATAATATGCTTCAAAGTTTTACCTGGTCTCTGTGGAAGAGGAGTTAGCTTACATAGAAATATTCCATAGTTTATGTAACGGAATTTTTTAGTTAAAAGAAGTGGTTAGTAGTAACAGAACATAAAAAAATTTGAGGTATCTTTGGTGGTGTTCTAGGTCTGAAGACTTGCGCCGAGAATTTGGTCGTTATGGTCCCATAGTTGATGTGTATGTGCCACTTGATTTCTACACTCGTCGTCCAAGAGGATTTGCTTACGTTCAATATCCTTTCTTCAGATGGCTGAGTAGTGAGGGGTGTTGAAGTTTGAAATTCAAGTTTGTGTAAGAGGTAACACATCTAAAAGTAGTTTATTTTTGTGCTGTATCTAATGAGTGTTTTGTGTCATCAGATTTTTGGAAATTAACTGACTCATATGTTGCTCATTGCTATTATTTATTTCTATGATATCTAATCAAAAATAGCATTAAAATTAATTTCCAGTCACGCTGCTGAAACTCAAAATTGATAATTCTAATGTGTGATTTAAGCTTTGGTGTGTGTACTCCGTGGTTGCAACCACATTTTTAATGTAAGTCAAACTAAAAGTAATGTTCTTGTGCTTAGCAAAATGTTGGTTGGTTTTCTTGTTTTTTGATAATTTGAAACACTTGATCAAAACAGATTGTTTAAAAATGAGGTAAACTTCTTTAATATTGTCCCCTAATTTACTGTCCTCTGTTGTTGCCTCAGAGAATGTAAAGCTGTACAGTTATGGCGACCCCAAAGAGAAAGCATGAAAGAACCTTTAGAGTAGAGTTCAACAATTAAGGCAAGTAGACAAGCCAAAGACCTCTTAAGGATCAGGCTTGAAGAGAAGGGAGAGTTTGGGAAAAGAAAAAATAAAGAAAAGCTGGAAGAAGGACAAGCCATAATGGGAGACAAAGCTTCGCTTTATCTACAAAAGGGGGAAAAGGTTGTTTTTCAAAGTAAAAGATAAAGCCATCTGTCATATTTGACCAAGCATCTCATGACAAGTCCTTCTGACAAGCACTTAAAGAGTTAAAGGTCAAGATGAAGTTGAATGATGGCCAAGATTAAAGGAGTCATACCTGATGTATCCTACGGAATAACAATTTTCCTTTTGTTTTTGTGTAAGCAGTTAAAGTTGCAAACTGATTCTGGTTTGGTCTAATGACAAAACCTGTATCTTAATTGTGGGGGCTGTTGATAATTGTGATTGTGGTCTTGTATGAAAATGCATTCTTTCTCAGCTTGCAAGATAAATGTATCTGCCATATAACAGTTGAGTTTTAGCTCAGAATATATAAGTATTAGATTGAGGCTTGACAGTTTTTAGCATTTAGATCACAGGACAGTAGACAAAAAACCATTTTGGGGAGTACATAACTTTGGGGTGAAGTAATCTTCACAGAAGCATCCCTTCAAGAAGGGCCAAGTCAGTGTAGATCTAGCAGCCATTTGAAAATTTACCATTGGTGGTTGTCTGGGCTTAGAACCACCAGAGATGACACTTCCTCTGATGGTAGGTTTCAGAGTAACAATAAATCATTGGTTTCTGGAACTATACACACTTCCCTTCTGTAGCTCAGCTCTACTGGCCATGGTTAGAAATGTCAGGGCCTGATCAGGAGTTTCAGGTGGCTGCCATATTTCCTGCTTCACCTTAGTCCCATCATATATGTTGGTACTTCTGTGGTATCCTCTCATTTGTACCAGCTGTTTAGTCTCTTACTTAAGGAAAAATTCCAGCTGCTAGATCCATACTGACCTCCTGAACCCTGAGTCAGCCTCCTTGTCCTGATGATTTCCCCATAAAGCCTCTGACTTGGTGGGTGGGATTGTGTGAATCAAACCCTGATGGAGCCAGCATATAATTTAGGGCAAATTTGGAGTCCATTGAATTCAGTAAAGCTCTGCTTCAGGAAAGAACAGAGTAGTTTCTTCAAAACATGACCGTTGGAGTTTGGCATGGCAAAGATAGGATTCACTGGCAACAAGGTTGATCTTCCACGTTTTCCCGTTAGGTGACTTGTGAATGAACTATGCATGGCCCTATAGTTTGAGTCAAATGTATGGTGTTTGAGGCAGAAACAGAATATTTACCTTTATAACAGAAGAGGGGAAAGGTAGTTATTTCAAGAAAACTACAAATTTATAGTCTGATGGATTGCAACTACTAGAGACACTTCTGTCTTGGTGGTATCTGATTTTTAAAAGAAAATTTGATGAAGAAAGGAAGATGAGAAATTTTGCATTTGAGAGACTACCCAGCACATATCTTTATTCAGGACTGGTGTGATGATAATATCTAACTCTCTCCCAACCCTCCTTATCCATCCTGCTTCCCTGTCACTGAGCCCTGTACCTAAAGCCAGGATCTGGGCCAGTCTGTCTTCGTTTTCTGTTCATACCAATAGAAATGAAGAAGGGCACTTCAAAGGTTAGAGATGTGGCACAAAAGTTCTTAGCTTCCCTTAAGACTGTTATTGTTGGTTCTATTCTTTTATTTTTTTAACTAAATCCTTTATAACTTTTTTGGTTTTGATCAGTGCAGCCTTTGGCTAAAGAGTACCATAAATCTGCTTATGGAACATGAAAATCCATTTTTTAATTATCCTAAAATCATTCACCTAAAGCTCTCAAAGGGGTGCTATTTACTTCTAGTATTCTAAGATAATTTCTTCTCAGCTCCCCAATATTTTAAATTAGAGGCCCAGTTTTTTTTCAGGACTTCTTATGAAAGCCCTTGTAACTATTTTATAAGGCCTAGTGTCCTTATCTCATGTCAGAAAAGAAGGCAAGTAATCATTTGCAAATTAGACCATTTGGTCTCACCAGTGTGCCAGAATTTTTTTCAGTCCTGCAGAGATCTACTTTGAAAGTGTGTGTGTCTCTTCATGATGTTGTATCTAGCTAACTCTAAAAACACAACTTCTCCCTAGTTAATATCAAAAGAAGTGGCAATATGAGTCCAAAAATGTGACCTTCAAATAGTAGGTAGACTTAACATTCAAATGTAGCCCTTAACCTTTCCCATAGCCACTGGAGTCAAAGACTTTCTAGGGTATGGACCTAGTTTTGAGCAACAGGGAGAGCCTCTGGGATGGCAGCTGAGTGGGGGAGTGTGGGAATAGAACTATATTTGGATGATTGGATGAGTTCTCACTTTTTTTTTCCTTTTATTAAAATGGAGAGGTTTCAGGGAAAGCAACAAGCCCCAACAAACTTTGAACTGTTAGCAGGAGTTTGTGTGGAAGTATTCTGAAATTCCCAACTAGAAATCATTTCCAAATTACTGATTTTGCATGAAACAGTTTATGTAGCGTCAGACTCAGTACTCTGGAATTGGCTATCCATCCCAGGACCCCGTAAAATGATCTTTCTTCATTTCTTGGTAGTATCTCTTAGAGCTGTACCAGGACCATATGCTTCTGACCATAAGTTAATTGAGCATCTGCTCAATAATTTCATATTTATACATACATTGGAAGGGCAGTCATTGTACTGCCCTTCTGTGGTCATTACAAGACAGATAAGTGAATGAAACCCTGGTAACAGACATATTTAAGCAACCTAAAACACCAGAAAGGTAGAGGTCTTATATTTAGTTTTAGATTTCAGATCTTGCAGGATGGGTTCTTATATTTGTTTACCTAGGAGTTTTTGGTATTTTCATATTTTAATTTTAATTTAGTATATGGAGAACACTTGGAGATACTTTTTGATATAATAGTAAAAAAATTCCATTTAGCACTGAGCAAATGTCATAAAAGATCACTCCTGAAACTCAGACTAGAAGATTCTCTGCTATCTTTTTTAAGCTTTTGGTTTTTTAGTTCTGAGTTAGGAAAATAATGGATTTTTTTCCCTGATAATGACTTCATAACCTATCTTTGCAAATATAATAAGATTTTTGTGACTTTAAAACCAGATGGCTTGATTTTGAAGTAAGTATCAATTACCTAGTTGATTTTTTTGGAGGAAAAAAAAAGGATGGACAGATCATGGAATGTGCCACTTTTGCCAGTTAAGCTTTTGTTATATATAAAAGTTTGCAAAACTTTCCCAAGCCCCTTAACATTTAGCACATTTGAAGATGTTCGTGATGCTGAAGATGCCCTGCATAATTTGGACCGAAAATGGATTTGTGGACGTCAGATTGAAATCCAGTTTGCACAAGGGGATCGCAAAAGTAAGTGTGACTCTACCGAAACTTTTTGACAAGTCATTTCTAAAAATGGTTATTTTATTCTGAGATTCCTGCATTCCACAAATGTTTTCTTAGACTGCTCGACATTTGGATCCAATGGAAAAATCTTTGCTAGTTGCATTTAGTAAGTTTGGTATTTCTACCTCACCGATCATGTAAAGTTTTTTAAATACAATTGGATCATGGCATTTGAGCGCAAGATAGAATTAAATTAATGCATTCTTTGTAGCATTAATTACTAGGGGCCAAAATTTGGTGGCAGCTCTTTGTGTAGGCATACTTAGAGCATGGTGCAGTTTTGCTAAATGTCTCCCATGAATATATATCCTGCATTTAAACATTTCCCACTGTGCTCATAGGCCCCAGGAAGTACTTAGTAGTTATCTATGCAGATGGTGAGAAGTGTCTTGGTACCATTCCCTAAACACTATTCAGCAGGATAAACGCATTCTCCATGTGAAGTAATTCTCTTTTGCTTTGGAATATATATTGTATCATTTGGGGCAGTGAATTTACCTACCTCTCGTTTTCTCTGGCCTGCTTGCTGTTGAAAGTAATTGGCACACCTTGAACAACAAACAGTATAGCGAGTAGCCGGGCTGCTGCATGCTGACGCTACTGAAAGGAATCTGGGTTTTTGAAATAAAGTTTGTCAGTGAAAAATTTATCTAAGGATAGGGACTGGACCAGTGATTTCTTTGGAATAGGGAACTCCACAGTGAAGACTCAAGGTCAGCTCTTTCTTAGCAAGGTGTAGTCTTAAAGAGTTGCCTTGACCCCACGTCTTTCTGATTATGAGGCCAGCTCTACACCCTGCTTTGGAAAAGTAAAACAATTAAAACCTACCTTTTACTCAGGTTGCGGTTTCACATCTAACCTCTGCAGAAAAAAAATAGTGAAGATATTGGTATTAAAAAGGTAAAAAAGCACTGGTTGCTTAGAATGAAAATTTGAAAGTGGTCACTTGAGACATTAAATACGAAACTTTTTTCCATAGCACCAAATCAGATGAAGGCCAAGGAAGGGAGAAATGTATACAGCTCTTCTCGCTACGATGACTATGACAGATATAGACGATCCAGAAGCCGAAGTTACGAAAGGAGGAGGTCTAGGAGTCGTTCTTTTGATTACAACTACAGAAGATCTTATAGTCCTAGAAAGTAAGTGTGATGTGTGGTTTTTAACTGTGTAGCAGTTGATTGGAAAACAAAAACACATTTACTATTTGGCTGTTAAGAGTTTTAAAAAATATTCTGAATTTTTTGTATACTCTACTTGTAACCACATGTAGGAACTATCATATATTGCATGATTCGTTGACATTAAAATAATGATTTGGCTCTAAGTGCATATCTTTTTTTAAGCCAATATTTTAATCATCTACATAAGTAGACATTTCTCATTCTTTACTTTTTCTGATGTGCCTTTTAGCAGTAGACCTACTGGAAGACCACGCCGTAGCAGAAGCCATTCAGACAATGATAGGTAATTAGTTTTGTTCTGATCTATTACAATGCAGACATAATGAATCAATGTCAGGGGAAATTATTTACTCTAAGAATGATAAATAATCAGATTTAGGAGGAAACCGTGTTTTTACGCTAATCTAATGTCTCCTCTTTTTTGAAAGATTCAAACACCGAAACCGGTCTTTTTCGAGGTCTAAATCCAATTCAAGATCACGATCCAAGTCCCAGCCCAAGAAAGAAATGAAGGCTAAGTCACGTTCTAGGTCTGCATCTCACACCAAAACTAGAGGCACTTCTAAAACAGATTCCAAAACACATTATAAGTCAGGCTCAAGATACGAAAAGGAATCAAGGAAAAAAGAACCAGCCAGATCCAAATCCCAGTCAAGATCACAGTCTAGGTCTAGGTCAAAATCTAGATCGAGGTCCTGGACTAGTCCAAAGTCCAGTGGCCACTAACAGCATAACTATAATGTTTTTAGGCATGTATCATTCATTTACTCATAGTTCAGTTTACTAAATTATCAGGAATACAATGTTGCAACAGTGCTTAAAAAAAAAGACAAAAAAAATCCCCCCAAAACTTTTACTTCTGTCAGTTTTCCCTGTAGCAGGCAATGGTTATTATAATTAAAATGATATACTGTTGAGAAGCCACTCTTAAGAGTCCAGTTTGTTAAATGTCATGGGCAGCTACCAATTTGATTGTGGTGTCTCTGTATATTTTTGTAAAGATTCTCTTTTTTTATGCTTGGAATATTGGTAAAAAGTTGTTAGTTGACCATAATTTGCAACATTGTCCTATTAGAAATAAAGTTCATATCCATGAAGCAAAAATGGTATCAATTTGACAGAACAACTGTTTAAGCTAGAAAGTCAGGTTGTTCCTTAAAACGTGAAACAAAATGGATAACTAGCCACAGTGTAACACTGACTGCTGTGGCATTTCAGGTTTACAGTGGACCTGTGGGGTGAGGGAAAAGGTGTGGTTTTGACACTTCTGTGGCTATAACATTCATTGGTACATGGAGCAGTGTGGTTTTAAGGTGTTCTTGTCAGCTGAACCATCTCAGGTAGATGGTACCCACAGAAGAGGACATGGGTGGGGAGTCTTCAGGGAGATTGAGTAATTAGTCTTTTTGAGTAGAGCGGAGACTACTTTTGCCTGGTTTCTGACTATTTTGAAAAATGAAAACATCTGTAATGTTAGCTAAAATTTGAGGTCATAATAGCAGAAATATTTTTAGGAAAAATGTGCTGTTTTTGTAGCTATTCTGAATTTTAGAGAGCTGTTAACCATAATACTGCTTAGTTTTCTTACTACCATTAGAGGCAAGTAAATTGTTTCAAAATAGGGTGTGTGTGTATGTGTGCGTAGTGTTTAAGAACTCAATTTTGATGCCAATGATGTTCAGTTGTTGTGTTCATTTATATCAGAATTTGCCTACCTCTTTCTGAGGGAGGCTTTCCTCTTCTTTACAATTCAGTTTATTTAGTGAGGCAAGTTTCACTGATAACACCCCTGAGACCGAATGTTATTTCGGTGCCATAAAATGGAAAATAATTAGAGGCAAAGGAGGCTTTAGATTTAAGCAAGAGCTGCATCTCCAGGTTTTTAGTTGATCTTAAATGCAGTACTCAGCTATAAACAAATGTGAACATGGTTCCAGACCATTATGTGATTTCAAGTATTTCTCTGAAAGGCAAGTTGTTTTGTTTTTGTTTTTTCAAACAAAAGTGGCTTTTGACAAGGTCCAACCTCATTTCATTACGAGAGCTAGTATCAGTACACCTCGGATCGCTTGTTAAGTATAAGCATAGAGATGTTGGTGGGGAAAAGTTTCCTTTTAGAGACCTACTTTATATTCTATCTTGGTTTTAGGTATCTAGGCCAGGCCTGTAAAAAACAAACAAACAAAAGATGGTTTTAAAATATTGTTTGTGGAACATACTTAAGGGATTGATACTAGAACCTTTGTATATTTGATAGTCTTTCTAACTTTTATTTCTTTACTGTTTGCAGTTAATGTTCATGTTCTGCTATGCAATCATTTATATGCACGTTTCTTTAATTTTGTAGACTTTCCTGGATGTATAGTTTCAAAACAACAAAAAGTCTATTTAAAACTGTAGCAGTAGCTGGCAGTTCTAGCAAAGAGGAAAGTTGTGGGGTTGAACTTTGTATTTTCTTTCTTATAGAAGCTTCTAAAAAGGTATTTTTATATGTTCTTTTTAACAAATATTGTGTACAACCTTTAAAAACATCAATGTTTGGATCAAAACAAAAAGACCCAGCTTATTTTCTGCTTGCTGTAAATTAAGCAAACATGCTATAATAAAAACAAAATGAAGGACATCATGACCAACTGGAATTATTACAGTTTTAAGCCATGATTCTGTAATAGAAGCTCCTTTTTAAATATACCATGGTGAAATGGGCTTGGTAATGAGTGTCTGTTAACCATAGCTACTTTTGATTTCGAATGTGACAGACTAAAAAGGATACATCTCTTGATTGGTACCTTGACATTACCTTAAGCAACAGTGTATTTCATAGTTATTCCATGAATACACATTGTCTTCTCAAGTCACTTTGCTGTCACCTGTTAGATCTGGAAGGGAGCCAAGAACCAAGCTAGTAAAGTGACTCCTTTTGCAGAAAAGGAAACTTGAGGCCCTGAGAGGTGATTGATCAGTTGCACAGAGTCACACAGTTAAGTAAGTGACAGAGCTGGACAAAAGAAGGCATGGCCTTTTAGTCCAGCATGCCTTCACTCTCCTCCCCATCCTACTTCTCATTCACCATGGCTTCATTATTTTATCAGGACTGTGTTCTCCCATTATCAGACATACCCTTCTAATAAAAGTAGAGCAAACCTTTTCATTGAAAGTAAATCTTGATCCTCATCCCTTTGAAATTGGCCTCCTTTATTGGTCCTCTCAGCCTTGGAAAAGTCCATCACAGATGATTGTTCCCTCTGTGGTCCTTCTAGTAAACTGTGTCAGATAATGGGTTGGCTGGGCCCTCCCTTTTAGACTATCTGGCTTTCCTCCAAAATAACAAGTGTCTTTTTTTTTTTTTACAAAGATGCATCAAGAGAAACATTTGGGTGCTTTGATTAGAATTGAATTTAATTGAACTCCTCGGTCATTGTGAGGCAGGGCTAATACTCCAGGTGATTATTTCCTGGAATTGAAAACACTCCTTTAATGTCTGTTCTACACTTGAGTGCTATTTTAGTGATCTTTATATGTATATCTTTGTAGGGAAGATGCACTTGATGGTGAATGAGTACTAAGTTCTGTAGTACTACAAAACAAGGATTTGGTTTCCTCTGGTCTGAGGCTGGGTGTCTTCATCTGGGATCCCCTGCTATTCTGTCCACACATTCCATTGTCATGTGCTTAAGTCTTAAGTATAGCTCTATAGCTCCACCTACACTCCTGAAGACAAAGGCAAAAACACAAAAGCGTTTAGAATGTAAGTCATTTAAAAGTTGGGTTAAATTCAACTTTTAAGTTAGAGTTAGGAATCTATGTTGTTTGAGCTTTCCTGTCACCTCGTTATATAGAAAGTGATAGTGGCAGTGGGGTCTTTGGCTTTGAGTAGTTTTCTTGTTTTATTAAAGCTAAAATAAGGACTAATGATTTTGGAGCATTTTAAGCTTTAGCCACTTAGAATCATAAACATTTTCTACCAGAGGAGATGAATTTAATAGTCCCGACCTTTTACAGAACAAAGGCTACTTGATGTCAAGAAAAATTTTGCAACACCCCACTTGATAGCAGCTATACTATGGAATCTGTTAAAGGAGAAAATATGTCACAACCTAAAGCTACTATGAATTCAGTAACTTGTGTCTTATTAATCAGTGCATCTGTATCACCAGGAAAAAATGGCAAATGTAAGAAGGTTCAGTGTATAAAAAGTTTCTTTTATTGTATGGAGTTATAATAATCAAGAAGATCAAGTAATATGTTTCCATGCCTCACAACCTGTGAACCACTGATGCAAGGCAGGCTTTTTATTTTTATAGATGTGGGAACTGAGGCCCAGTTAGACTGGGCAGAACTGGTGTTTGGGGCCGAGTGTCCTGGTTCCCAGGTCAGCATTCTGTCTACTGTCACCCTTCTTCATGAGAATCGTTGGGGTTTTTTTATTATGTTTTAGGTAAACTGAATAGCTTTGTAGCTTGTAAGATACAGAAGAAAACTATAGCTAAGTATCAGCAAATCAGTCTCATTCTTATGAAGCCAGTAAAATTGATGTTATTAATGACCCTGATATATAGGTTCCTAGTTAAAAATAGCTTCAAGGGCTTTCTTCCCATTAACAACGAAAGTAGTAATGTAAGAAGTAAGGCTCAGATATAGTTGGCTTTAAAAGCCACATGCTGTCATATTGTCTGTTCCTGTGTCTCTAAACAAAAAAGGTAGCCCAGAATAGTCCAGGTATGTTTCCTGTGCTCCTTTGTTGGCTTCAGCAGCAGTGCAATTTGTATCCATCCTACTTGATACACAGGATTTGATGAGTTGGGGAAGGGCTTAGAGGGTTATAAAGCCTTGTGCTGTGTCTCAGTGATGGGATGAACACGACTCTAGCTGTGAATCCTGTTTCTTCCTCTCTTTTCATAGGATTTAAGTCTGGAAGAGACTTTATATATCTCAATATCCCTTATTTTACAGATGTGAAAAACAGGCCCACAGAGGTTTGAATTACATATCCAAGATCATATAGTAAAGAACACATTTGGGATTCAAATTCTGGTTCCAAAATTCATGTATAGGATCACAGTATCCCCTAGGGTTTCTTTTAATACCCTTCAGAATAATGTCAGAAGTAATAGTGCACTGCTTTCCTCTTGGCACTCCTATGAGGCAAGATAGTGTAGGTGAGAAAAATTTAGAAGAAAAGGGATTTCTAGATTGTCATATAATAAGAGGTAGATCCAGTGAAATCTAAGTTTCTGTACATTTTAAATTGATCATCTTCTAATTGTGTTAAAAGGTTTAGGAGCAGAGATTACATACTCTTTGTTAGTGATTGGTTTAATGGATAATCACGACAATGTCTTTATTCAATACTTCAGAAAATTTTATGGATGGTACTAACTCTTTAACACTAAGTATTTTTAAAGTATTTTTCCTTACTACAACCCTAGATAGATAATGTAAATATCCTCTTTTTATAAATGAGGAAAACTGAGACTCTGACAGGTAAGTAACTTTCCCGTGGACACAGCTTATGTCAGGAGGTAAAATTTTACTTGTCTCCCTGACTCCCAAAAGCAGCATTTTTCACTGTCCTGAAGTTACCCCTAGAACTGTATTGTGAATGAATTCTGGTGCCTGTGTCAAAATAGGGGGCAAGAAACAGCCCACAGATGTAGTGCAACTTCTGGGAAGAAAGAGTAGAAGAAACCAGAGGGTGCTGAGGATAGCAGCAGTCAAACTGGGTGACCTCAGAAGGCAGAGTGGAAACAGACTGACCACTGTGGAACAGCCTTTCCACACTTGAAGGGACACAAGTCCCCTCGTACACTTACACTAGGCAAACTTTCAAAAGGGGCAAAGGCAGCAAACAGAAGAAGTGAGCCTGAGACAGGGCCTGAAACCCAATGACACTAGAAAGGTGGACTGGTGAGGAATTGGATACATACACGTTCAGGTATGTGTCAGGCATCCTGGTGCAAAGCCCAGTCATGTCCTAGTCACATCTTGGCACCTTTTGTGAGCTGACCTCACCCAAAATACCTGCACAACTTTAAAACTTACAAAGCGCTTGCTCCACGACAACCTTGTACAAAGAGGTAGTGCATCTATGAGCTCCATGTTATAAACCAAGAAAGGGCAGAGGTTAAAGTGACTTTCCCAGGGTCACAGCTAGTCAGTGTTGGAACCAGGATTCAGACTTGGCCTCTTCTGAGCCCCAAGTCAGCGTTCTTGACACTAGATCACAGCTGCAGGTGGGTAGAGATCAAAGCCAAGTCACCACAGTTCTTTGTTACATTAAATAACTCTTGAAACTGAAAGGGCAGGAACTAAAGCTTTGGCGGTCTTTGTTTTTGCTGACTTTTGTATTGTTTTTTTCTGCCTCAATCCTGTTTGCAAAATACTGTAGAGAAGATTCCATGATTTCTCTTACATTTTCTCAGGAGTAGAAGACATGTGGCCTGAGACTTGATTTGGCTCTTGGTTTCATCCTCATGGAGGGTAATATTGCTCCAATCACTCCTGCCCAAAGAATCTCCCACCTGGCAGACCATAAGGAGGACTTCTGAAAGTCTGAGAATAAAGAGTAAACTGAACAGCAATGAGCACTTGAGAGTATTTTTACTGTTTGAAGTTTATAAAAGCTTTGGGGAAGTGTCCGGTATGGTGAGAACAGAGTGCCTCAGCTGAACCTCCTTCCCACTTGTTCCTTGGGCACCTGCTCACGTGCATATGTATACTCGTGTACAAGGCACCTTCCTAGCCACTGGGAATAATAGTACAGTAGCCCATGGGTCAGAAGCTCCCTCCTTGACACAGACAACCAAGACACACTTTGAGGGGGCCCCTTTCACTTAGCTGGGTAACTGTCATTACCCAGCATGGAACCTGGGAACTTGAATATTTGGCAAAGGGTGGCCATGAACTTCCCCTGATGAGGCATCCAAACACAACAGGAAGATGAAGCATCTGAGCAGTAAGTCAAATACCTACCACCCACATTTGGGATGGACTTACTCCAACTTGAGGGATCTACCTCTTAACAGTCCATGTGACTCTTGATGGTGCCTGACCACCCCACCAAGAAGATAAAGAATTTGAGATTTGCTCCCATGCTGGGACTCTGTATGGCGTTCTCCTCTCATTGCCAGGCACATATGTCACTCCCCAGTTTGGTTCTTGTTTATTCCATGAGATATGTGCCTACTCTGTACAAAAGCATCATGCCAGATGTGGATGCAAAGACAGAAAAACCTTCAGATGCTTTGCTATTTTACTCTGGCTCCCAAACGTGTTGACTCCTCTTTGCTTCTCCAACATGGGGCCAGTTTTCACTCTGGGTCCTTAGAGGGATAATGTTAGTGTCCCATCAGTATGACAGCTCTCGTGCTGCTCAGGACCACAATGTCCAAGCTCTTTTAAACCCTACTTTGAGTCTCACTACTGCACATGCCGGATAAAGACACTGCTTTTTCTTGGATTGTCCAAGGAGTCTCTTCATCCTTGAGAGAGAAGTCTATAGCCTTGCCCATCTTGGCAGTTTGGCCAAACCATGAAAACTAACACTGGGAGGGAAGGGGGTTGGAATGCAGCGTGTAGCAGGAAAGCAACTAGGAAATATTTTTCTGGAAAGACTACCACTAGGAAATGACATCTAAGCTGTCTGGATATGAGGAATCCCCAAGGGTGGAGCTGGAGTGCATTCCAGCCCTGGAGTTCTCTTGCCAACAGTGGGTTTCTGTGTAAGGGGATCAGCCAATAGACCAGTCTGACAGGAATGCAAATTGTGGACAGAAAAGATGGATGAGAGGTGAACTATATGTAGGGCTTTAGCTGCCAGGCAACAGCTGCATTTTATCCCAAGTATTATCCATTGAAGATTGTAAGGTGGGGAGGGGAAAGAGGTTCAGGTCTTTTATTCATGGTTTCACTTGTACATGAAGAGTCAAAGTGGGAAGGGGCTGCCCAAGTCATCTTGGAGGTGCAGTGTTGTCATGGAATGAGCCCTGGATTTGGAGGCAAAAGCTGTGACTAACAAATCACTTCGCCTCTCTTCAGTTTCTTCATCTATAAAATGGGAAATAACAAATACATAGCATGCATCTCAAAATGACCGCTATGAGGATCAAATTGGGTAATGTGTGTGCCAGGTGTTTTGGAAACTTTAAGGCACTTGTAGGAACATGAACTGTCCAGTCCAACTGGTAGCCAAAGCAGGAATGTCCTCTACCATATTCTCAATAAGGAATCCTCCAACTTCTGCAGGAATACCACCTCTAGGGAACTCAAGAGCTTTCCTGGTCAGCCTTCTCTGCTGTTGGACAGTAGACAATGACTACATGTTGGGCATGTTGCAGAAACAGAGGTTGGCTAGTGACCTCTGAGGTCTCTCCCAACTCTGGAACTTGGTGTTCTCATGCTGCCTTCCCCCATCATGAATACTACCTAAGTGGTTTTCTCCATGGGACAATGGTTCTCCCCCTCTCACTCCTTTAGAATTCCTAGCAGTAAGATGTCTGTAGCTGAAGAGGACATCAGAGCCAAGTGACCATACTAAATCTCAGGGAAGGTATTGAACTTCCCCTAGGATGCACAACTAAGAAGCCAAGTCTCCAAACTGGGCCCCCTGCTTCCTGCTAGATCAGACTTTGGTAATTTAGTAAACATTTACCACTACCCTTCTAAATAATCAATCCTTTATGCCAGTCCATATTTTTAAAAAGGGATGCTAGAGTGACATTAAAATGGTCGCAGGGGTGGGAAATGACTACTCCTGGAACCTGACTTGTCTTAACTAACCTTTTATATCAGTCCAGAAGCTTTTGGAGTAGACACCATCCAGCCATCTCCCAATCCCAAGCCTTTTGCTTAGTGGTAATAAGGCCTTGAGTCTCACAGTTGTAAGCACATAGCCGAGGTCAAATTAACCCTACCTAGGCAAATGCTGGAAGGCAATAGCACCACACTTGAATTCAGTCAATAAGCACTTACTAAGCACCTGCCACATGCCAAGCCCTACAAAGACAAGACAATCTCTAATGGAGGCAGATGATTTCCTGTCTTTGTGTGCCAGTACCCCATGGAGAGATGACAGTAGAGCAGGCATGGAGGCTCCCAAATCAACCCTCCATCATTCCTTCCATTTTAAATTGTTGACAATATAAAACCTCCCACCACCTCTCTGTCTGCCCCAGCAGGTAGCATGTGATAATTCAGAACTCATTTGCAAGGGACAGCCTTTTTTGACATAGCCAATGCCAATAGCCCAGATACCTAGGTAACCCTCTCTGGCCTTCCCAAGCTTATTTGTTCAGTCACAGCTTAGCCAGGATTTCATAAAATTAGGAATGGAAGGAACTGACCAGTCCCACCCCTTTTTTTCAGAAACTGAAGCTCACACAGGAGAACCTGGGCAGGTCCTGATTCCAAGTTGTTTCCTATTTTCATTCACACTGGGATGATCAACTTGTGAACCTATAATATCCTTCAGTTAGCTTCCGAGTGACATGAAGACTACCTAACTTTTCTTATCCCCATTCCCAATAGTGGCATTTCTATCTTGAAATATTGAGAATAAGCTGTAATGTGTCTAGCACATTCAAGCAACTTTAAAAAACAGGAAACCAACCCATTGGGGGAGGAATTATTTTATTTTCAGTTTTGTTTCAAATTCACATAACGTATTTAAGTACTTCACAAACTGATTAAACACCAAATTAAATTATTTGGATACCTGTCCTTAAGGTTTTTTTCCTTTGAGAAAAAGTTTAAATGCAATCAATATGCCAATCAATTTTATTTAAAAAAAACTGTAAACATGGAGGGAGCTGCCATTTTTTTTTGTACAGACATTTTCTTAGACAAGTTACTGCTTTAAAATCCTAGTTCTTTTCCCCTTTACTCATTGTTAGGTCATTATTTGGAATTTTTTTTAAAAAATCAGCACTCAAAAGAATCCTAACTGCATAATCTTACAAAATAACAGCACTTGTATTTTTTTTAAAAGTCTATCATTTTGTAATTAATCTTTAGTTTGAAGCATTGATGGGAAAAGGCCAAAGGAAACCTGTTTTCTGCTTGAGAAGGGACCCTTTGGTAAAAGATTGTCATTTCGATCAAAATCACCATCTTGTTGACCCTTTTTTTGGTTTTTTTTGGTTTTTTTTGAAAAAATAATTAGGCCTGTTTTAATAGTATTCTTATCCAAACATCCCTTTATGTGTTCAAAATAAGAGCACTACACTGAGTCTTTAGCAGCTTTCACAGTTCTGGTTTTTTCCTAATAGCCCTAAGTTACAAGTCTCTTGCAATACAGTTTAGAACTAAACTGGACATGTATATGCACTGGCAAGCAACTTAGCGCAAAGACACTGCTTCCTTTAAAAAATATATTTTGATCCCTTTAAAACCATGCCATGTCTTAGTTCAGTCCATGGTCTGCCTTACATTCAGCAATTCTGTATTAAAAATACTCTTCAAAGAAAAGGCCAGCAAAAATTTACATATGCTACAAATTTTACATTTATTTACATGGCTTTCTCTTTCCTAGGTCATTTACAACCTTTCCCTACTTTGGAATTCTCATAGAATTCTCCTATTTGAAACCAGACCAATTTTATCAGCATTTTTTTCAGTGCTTTGATGCATTTTGAAAACTGTTCACAATATGCCAAATACTGAATAACGCTCATACTATCTTTTAAGAAGCTTTTTGGTACATTCTCCTGACAAAAAAAAAACAGTACTTTTGTCTGTCCATATGTGTGTACCTAAGGGTATGCCCCTATGTAGTTCCTGACCGTGGAGCAACTGAGACAGACGGGTATTCCTAGAAAATCAGGCATATCTCCTCTATCAAAGGCAGTAAGCCCCAAGGGATGAGGCAGATAATAGGGCAGTGTTCTGTGCCCTACTGTAAATCTCAGTCCTTCCCCGTATGCCATCATCAACCCCAAGTCCCTTTGATTCCAGTGCCGCCTTATTGACTAGCATCCCCCTCCTTATCCAGCCTTAATCATTAATCCAACCTTAACTCATTCATTGCCAAGGAAGGATTCCTATCACATCTGTCTATTCCAGAAAACTCACAATGGATATGGCAGTACAGTTTGCTATTCCATTCTAAGTGGCTGGTATTCAACCAGTCCTTTATCCCAGCCATAAGTGATTTTAGCTTGTTTTCCAAAAATGACGTCTACTGTTGCCTCACACTAAATGTTCACTGCACTATTGTTTTTGCCAAGAAACATGATCATAATACAAAAACTTCTTTCCCTAATTAAGAAAAGCCCATGAGTCTATACCATAAATCCTCCTTTACAATTCAAACCATGGTTTCAAGTTCAAAACTGGAAGAGCTGCTATTCAATTAAGAACAATTGATATCAAGTCCACACATTCTAAATAATTGATTTCAAACTGCCATCTAATGCGGCAGCCACGTATCTCCTTAGTCAGAGGGCAGTGCATACACACATACGTACACACACTAACATATAAGCAGGATGAAATTTTACATCAAGTATTACCCACTATTATCAGTCAGCTGCTCTATACAGATGAAAGACAAAATCCCTAGCTATGAAGTTTTTATGTTTAGGAACAAACATTGATGCGCTCCTGTCAAATACCTGAAGTCCTAAACATTGAAACACCAGCAATCTGATTATCTCACATCACAGCTGGACTTTAAGTAAGGCTTTCAGTTGGAAGGTCATTATTTCTTTATCAGAAGGATTCAAGGAAACCGGAACCCAGTGGCTGGGAGGTTTAGGGAGAACACTTGGCGACGGCGGCTCACTGAATTTCGCTCCGGCGTAGTTCTGGTTAGTTTGGGATTTCAGAAATAAACTGGAACTTGCCAAGCTGGAATTCCAGTTTTGATTATTCGGGAAATGCCCATTCTTCCCTCCACTTTGTACAGCCTGCCATGCAGCTGCAGATGAATTATAGGAATGCCCTCTTTCTTTCTTCTTGTGAACAATCTTCATCTGGGGATTCTGATCCTTGTTCTTTTGCCTATTAAGCTGCTGTTGTTGGTTCTTACTAACATTTCTAGATTGGGGACCTGGAATGTTGAATCTCTCTCCGCCACCCATCTCCAGCTTCGATGTCACCTGTAAAGAAGGAAGGAAGAAAAAGTGCAGTTTCTCTAATAAGACAACAGGTCAATTCAAAAAAGTCACAAAGAATTAAAGTTTAAAAAAATTCACTAATTTTGTATGGACTTTAAAGATATCAGCTACCTAAATTCCTAAATTCAAGAAGCCTGTTCTGATTTCAGATCTCAAAAAATTTAAAAAAAATTTATTTTCTGCATACTTGAAAATGGTCAGGGTTTAAAACAATGTCTTTTTTAAAGGATCGATCCTTTCCTCAATTAAAAACCAGGCTAATGTAGAATTATTAAGCCCACCTTACAACAGGTCTGCTTCATGCTTTTCCCTTCATACCTTTCAGTCTGCTTTGCAGACTGTAAGATTTCCACCACTTGTCTTCTTCCCTGTTGCCAGGCCCAGGATAACAAATGTTGTTTTCTGCCAGATCTGTTTCTTAGTCTGAGTATGGAAGTTTTCATGGGCTGATCTGCTAAGTTCAACATCGGAGTCTCCTCGGCACCCAGATTGGAGGGAGAAGTCCCAACTGCAAACATACAAAAAGCAGTTACAAGGAAGGCTATCAGTTTACTATGATAGGGGTGACCACTATCTTGAGTTTTAAGAGAGGCACTCTTTTTTTTTATTATTAAACAATTTATTAATTTTTAGTTTTCAACATTCACTTCCTTAAGATTTTGAGTTTAAAATTTTCTCCCCTTCCCTCTCCTCCCCCCTCCCCAAGACAACATGCAGTCTGATATAGGCTCTACTTATACATTTGTACCAAACATATTTTCACCTTAGTCATAAGGTAAAGAAGAGTTAGAACCAATGGGAGGAACCATGAGAAAGATGAAGCAAAACAACAACAAAGGAAAAGGAGAGCAAATAGCATGCTTCCATCTGCATTCAGCCTCCACAGTTCTGTCTCTGGATGTGGATAGCATTTTCCATCATAAGTCTTTGGCGATGTCTTGGAACTGCCTTGCTGAGAAGGGCCAAGTCTATCAAAAGTTAGTCATTGAGCAGTGCGGCTGTTACCGTGTACAACATTCTCCTAGTTCTGCTCACTTCACTCAGCTCGTATAAGCTCTTCGCTTGGTTCCCTTCTCGTTCAGTTCATAGAAGTCCTTCCTGGTTTTTCTGAAGTCAGCCTGTTCATTTCTTATAGCACAACAGTATTCCATTAGATTCAACTAGCTCAGCCATTCCCCAACTGATGGGCATCCCCTCAATTTCCAACTCTTGGCCACCACAAAAAGAGCTGCTGTGAATATTTTTGTACACGTGGGTGAGGCATTCATTTTAGATGCTCAATGTGCAAGGCTGAACTTGGCTTTAAACAGTGAAGTATTTTATGTTACCTACATTCAAATTCTAAAGGAGCAGCCAGGTGAAATGTGAAAGGCACCCTACTCTAGGAATCGGGAGACGGACTCTATGGAGTCTGCTTCATCACTGGCTGTTGTGTGACCTTGGCCAAGTTACTTCCCTTAATCTGAAAAGAATAGGGCTGGGCCATGTGATCTGGAAGAGTCCCTTCTAGCTCTGATACGTGATACTACATCAGAGCAATGGAAATAAAACTGTTACTATGTGTATCAACTACTACTTCAGAAAGAGATACTTTTCAAACAGTCTATTTTCCCCCAGGGGAGAAAATGTGAACTGACTTCCTGAAAAATAACACCATCATTTAAAAACCTACAGCTACGGTTTACCTTCAAGACCCCACATCCCACTCGATTATTCTCCATTATGGAAATCTGTTTCCTTTGTTATCAAGGCGGCCCGGGTCCTTTCAACGGTTAAGGAAAGGCTACTTTCCATTCAAATAGCAATCTAAGTCAATTAAAAGTGTGAAGCCGCACAAATCTCTCGGCAAGTTCAATTCCGAAATAATCTATTAAGCTCCACGATGCTTCATTTTCCTGGATCTCTCGGACCGGGAGCATTCAAAGGCTTGAAATTAGGGGGTGTGTGGCTCCAAGGAAGTTTGCCACTGGGAGACAACCTTGTACCGAGTCACCAGTTATATATTTAGCCTAATACCGGGCCACTTTAGGAGGCGCAGGAGCCTTGAATTCCAATCCAGCCTCAGACACTTCCTAGTTCTGTGACCCTGGGGAAGTCACCTGACTTCAGTTTCCTCATCTGTTAAACGGAGGGAGGGAGAGAATGCGGAACTCTATTTTTAAATGAACGCTAAAAATAATGAATCGTTTTTAAAAGTAAAGAGAGAAATATGGAACAATAATAACAGCACCTCTCTCCCAGGGCTGGTGTGTAGATCAAATGAGATGATTCCAACACCAGGCGAGTCAACAAGCATTTATTTATTAAGGGCCTACTAAGGGCCGGGTGCACGGGAGGCATAAACACACACAGCGTGCAATGGGGTGCGCGGGGGTCAAGCCCGGCCAGGCTTCGGCCAGGGGGTGACCTGGCCTCACAAGACTGGATGGGATGGGATGGGCAGGGGAAGAGGCCGAGAGGACACAGCAAAGGGCAAAGGCGCGGAGGCGGGCGGGCCGCCGGCCTCCTCATCTGGACCGTGCGATCGGGCTCTAAGGCGCACAAGCGCTCGCAAGGGGGCCCCCGGAGCCGGAAGGAGGCGCCCCGGGCTCCGCGCGAACCCCAACAAAGGCGCACTCCGACCTCCCCACAACATGGCGGCAGCCCGGCTCCACTCACCGACTCCGAGTTCCGCGAGACGGCGGCAGCACCTCCTCGACAAACGGCGGGCGGGCGAGCGCGCGGACCACACGGGACCGGACCGGACCGAACTAGACAGAGGCGCGAAAACCGCCTGCTACCCCCACTCCCAGCGCCCGCCGCCTCCTTCTTCCACCTCCTCCTTCCGCCACCCCAGACAAAATGGCGGAAGCCCCGCCCCGGAGCGGGACTGGGACTGCTTCTAGCCAATGGGCGCACGGAGTTATCGCTCTCTGCCAATGGGAAGGAGGAGCCCTCCCTATGGGCCAATGGGAGTGGAGCGCTGCCTCTGTCAGCCAATGGGAATGCAGCTCTCGCCTGTTGCTGGTTATGGCTGCGGAGGCGGGGGCGGGGGCGGGTTGTTGTTGCGGAGAGTTTGAAATGCTCGCGCAGAGGAGCACGACGGGAGCAGTCATTCGCTGGCTGCGTGTTCGCTGCTGTGCTGGGCAGACCCCAGCGGCCCCATGCTGCGATGGGGCGCTGCAGGGTGGACGCCAGGCGCAAAAGGAGGCGTGCATTCTTGGACTTGGCAGCTGGATGGATTTGTCTGGCTTGGCTCCGCTTGTTTGTTACAAAGACTCTGTTTGTCTTTTCTTTCCCCCCTCGGGAGTTGGGGGGTGGGGGTGAGGGTGGAGAGGAATGGAGAAAGAAAGTAGTGGTAATGTTGCCTGCCCACCCCCTAAAAAAAGAAAAGACGGATATTGAAGCTGTTTTTAATGCCCAGAAAAGTTCGACGCGACAGAGTCTTGAACATGGCCAGTATGAGAATTTGTTCTGCCTCACTATGTATATTTGTTACAAAGATTTTATTTTCCTTTTTTCCCTGCCCCCCCACAGGGAAAGTGGGAGGAACACAAAATGTTCGTTAATTTTTTTTTTTGGTAATGTAATTTAAAAGAATTTTTCGAAGACAGACAAGTAGGAATGCCATGAAAGTAACGTTTGGAATGATTATATGCCTTTTTTTTTTAAGCAAACTGTAATGAAGATTCATGATTTCACATATAATCTATGGAAATGTGCTTATTTAGAGTGTCAAGTTAAGAATTTTTTAATGAAGATTTGATTTAAATTTTTTAAAAGCTACCTTGTGTTTTGTTATATATGGTGTCCCAAAAGTCATAGTACAGTTTTAAACTGCACCGAGACTTTTGGGACATTCTGTATTTATTCTATATATAGTTATAACATCCTCATGATCATGAACAAGCCTTTAAAAGCATGTAAAATAAGATAAAATGCATAAGCACAGCCCTCCGTAATAGAAATTCTTTGATGCCAGAGACTGTTCCTTTTTTTTTTCTGTAGCTTTTGTATCTCCATCTTATAGAAGGGACTTAACAATTATTTGTTTGTGGACTGATGGGTGAATGGCAGCAAAATGCTGCCCCATCACTGCAAAGGAGACCTAGGGCAGAGACAAAGAGGAAGCAGCTGCTCTGTCTCTTTCCTGAGTCCTGCTTTTCTCCTGAATTTAATAAAAAAAAAAAAAGTTCACCAAGTATCATTTCCCATTACGGATTGCAGAAAGTGAGATGACTAGCTCCAGGTTATGAGCTGTAGAGCCAAGGGCTGAATCCCTTGTCCTGGCTCTAAACTCATAGGGCATTCCACAATTAGGGCGGTTGATACACAAATTCTCAGAGTTGGAAGGGACCTCTGATGGTATTTAGTCTGACCTGTAACTCATTAAGAATCCCCCTCTCTAGAGCTGACACATTGGGACAGTGAGAATAGCTCTGAACCTGGAGTCTTACCATGCAGGATACATCCTTTCACTATTTACTACTTATGTGATAAGTCATTTGGATAAGTCACTTAACCTCACTTTTTTCTTCTGTAAAATGAGGGGAACTAGATGACTTCTAAGCTCCCTTCCTCTCTGTCATTCACTAGCTGTGTGGTCTTGGGAGATTCAAGTTTAACCAATTCAATAAATACTCAGTTGGACACATGATGGATCCAAGGTCCCTAGGCAGCTAGAAGAATTAAAGCAGTTTGTAGGATTTGAAGAAGGTAGGAGAAGGGAGCAAATATTTATTAAATACCTTCTATGTATAGACCTTAGAGACAGAAGCACTGAATCTCGGAGCTGGCAGAGAGCCATGGAGTCCAATATGGGTCTAAGCAGGATCTCCAGCAAGAGAGAACTCAAACAAGATAATACATATAAAGCCCATGTCATGCCTGTAAGTGCATAAAATGTCAGCTATTACCATTAAGTCTGAAATAGCCCATTCTACTATGTTTTAGTCATTTTTCAATCGTATTTGACTTTTCATGACCCCCATTTAGGATTTTCTTGGCAAAGATACTAAAGTGGTTTGCCATTTCCTTCTCCGGCTCATTTTACAGATGAGGAAACTGAGGTAAACAGGGTCAAGTGACTTGCCCAGGGTCACACAGCTAGTAAATATCTGAGGCTGGATTTGAGCTCAGAAAGATGAGTCTTCCTGATTCCAGGCTGGGCACTATATCCACTATACCACCTAGCTGCCCTATTCTTTTTTGTTTTTTAATTTGTTTATTTTATTCTGAACTTGAGAAATAAAACAAACATTTCCATAACAAAGTGGTACAGAAAAACAGAGGATTGCACCTGAAATTGTAGGTCCATTAAACTTGCTATTCCTTTCAAATATACAACAAAGTTATCACATAACTTTTTTTCCCTCTCTGCCCCAAACTTCAAGATGTCTACCATTAGACACAAATCTCTGTGTGTGTGTGTGTGTGTGTGTGTGTGTGTGTGTGTATGAGAGAGAGAGAGAGAGAGAGACAGAGAGAGAGACAGAGAGGGAGAGAGAGAGAGAGAGAGAGTTCTTTTTCTGGATTTAAACAGCATGGGATCTTTGAGGTTAATTTGGATATTTATAATAATCAGAATGACTTGGTCACTAGAAACTGTTGTTAGAACAATACTGTTGTTACTGTATATAATATTCTCTTGGTTCTGATCATTTCACTCTTCATTATTTTGTGGAAGTCTCTCCCTGCTTTTCTAAAATCATTGAGCTCATCATTTCTTATAACACAGTAATATTCCATCCTGAACACATACCACAGCTTCTTTAGCCATTCTGTAATTGAGGGGCAATTTCACAATCTCCAGTTCTTTGCCACCACAAAAGAGCTGCTATAAATATTTTAGAATATACAGGTTCTTTTCCTTTTTCCCTAATCATCTTTGGAAACAGACCTAATAGTGGGTATTGTTGGGTCACAGGATATAGGCAGTTTAATAACTTTTTAGGCATAATTCCATATCTTTCTCCAAAATGGTTAAATCAACTTACAAGTCCACCAACAATAAATTAAGGTCCCAATTTTTCCACATCCCCTCCAACATCTGTCACTTTTCCTTTCTATCTTTTTAGCCATTCTGATAGGCGTAATATGATATCTCAAGGTTGTTTTAATTTGCATTTCTCTGATCAATAATGATTTAGAGCATTTTTTCATATGAATATAAATTGTTTTGATTCCTTCATTGGAAAACTGCCTGTTCATATCCTTTGACCATTTATCAATTGGAGAATGACTCATATTCTTATAGATTTGACAAAGTTATTTATATATTTATACTAGCTGCCCTATTCTGCTTTGGGACTGCTCCAATTGTTAGCAAAGGACACTTGGATTTAGAATCAAGAAGACCTGAATGAATACCTTGCCGCAGACATTTGCTGGCTGTGTGACCCTAGGAAAATCATTTAACCTCTCTGTGTCTCAGTTTCCTCATCTGTACATTGAGGATGATGATAGCACCTACCTCCCAGGGTTGTTATGAAGATCAAATGAGTTAAAGTAAAGCATTTTACGAACCTTAAAGCCTTATGGAAATGCCAGCTATCTGTGATGCTGCCAACTTCACTCATAAGAACTTTTGCCTTCTGAGGCCAAACAAAGCAAATTTATTCCCTCTTCCACTTGGCAGCCCTTCCAATAACTGAAGTCTTTGCTACATCTTCTTTTCACTAAGCTAAGTCTTAATTTGTCAGGGATTCCAATCCTATGCATCCCTTGTGCAAAGCACAATGCTTTAAACATAATAGGTGCTTAATAACAGTTTATTGCATTTGTTTCCTTGAATTAATAAACATGGTTGAATTGACCAAATATGATTAAACTTAAAGCCTGAAAAGAAAGGAATTCCTTTTAATCCCCAAGAATCTTTCCCTTTTTCTTCTCCTTGGGTCTGTAATGGGAATTTTTTATTTCCTTTTCTTAATTACCGTTATTCAAGGCTCTGGGCCATTCTTCCTGCAACTTTTGGTTGACTAAAGGCCTGTCTTCAGTTAATATTGACCTCACCTGACTGGAACCTGACTCATGACATACTAATGTTAAGGGAAGGTCAGGGCCTAAATGAGAGGTTGTGGAGCCGGCTGATACCAATCTCATGGTTTGTGTATTATTGTGTACTAGTGTGTACTAAATGGAGTTTAATCTGTAACTGATTTAGTTTACCTATAGAGTTTGTTTGACTAAATTTGTTTCCTTAGGGGATTCATGAGATTATGACTCATTGTTTTTTCAACTTTTATGACATTGAAGGAAGTATGCTATTAGAAATCTGCCTTTTCTTTAACTTTTAAAGCCTAAGAGGAATGTGCAAGATTTGGAGTCAGAAGACGGGAACTGCAATACCAGCTGTACTACTTACGACCTGTGTGATGTTACATAAGTCCCTTCACTTTTTCTGAATCTGCATTTTCTTGTTTGTAAAATGAAAGAGGCTGAAGTCGATAACCTCTGAGGTCCCTTCCAGCTTGAAATATCTGGTCTTACAAAAATTCTGCAGAAGTCAAGAAGGTTAAGGAATGTATATAGGTAAGCCGATATAAATACACAGAGGCAGGTGATGGCCAGTTTAAATGGGATGTAGGTTGTGTGGAGGGGACTCATGAGGCCAAATGGGGTGATTTGTTTTGCTTCACTCTACATCTTTGTGACATAAGAAGAAGGGGTCGGGAGACAAAGATAGTCACTAAGACGTGACAGGACTATTTTTTTAGGAGTATCAATAAAACTTTTTTTTAAGAAGAAAGACAGGGTAGAGCCAAACTAGGAAGGACTTTAAATGCCAAGTTTAGGAGTTCATACTTTGCCCTAAAAGCAATAGGGTGGGGGCAGTTAGGTAGCACCGTGGATAGAGCACCAGCCCTGGATTCAGGAGGACATGAGTTCAAGTCCGGTCTCAGATACATAACACCTACTAGTTGTGTGACCCTGGGTAAGACACTTAACCCCATTGCCCAACAAAAAAACAAAAAAAACAAAAACAAAAAAGCAATAGGGAGCCACTGAAGGTTCTTGAGCCAGGAAGCAATTTGGTCAGACCACTGTCAGTGGAAGCTACATTGGAGAAGGGTAAAAGTAAGGAAAGTAAGAGATAATAGATGAATAATCCCTAAAATATGACATTATTATTCCCCCCCGAAAAAAAAGGACCAGTGAAAGGTCTCCAATTGTCAATCAGTCGATAAGAAACACCTACCATGTTTGAGGCTCTGGGGATACATGGACAAAAATGAAAGTCTCTGCTCTCAAGGAGCTAATATTCGCAGTGCTACTAGGTGGTGCAGTGGAGAGAGTGCCGAACTTGAAGTCAGGATCCTGAGTTCAAATCCAGCCTCAAACACTTACTAGCTGGGTGACCCTGGGCAAGTTACTTCACCCTGTTTACCTCAGTTTCCCCATCTGTAAAATGAGCTGGAGAAGGAAATGGCCGACCACTCCACTATCTTTGCCAAGAAAATCCCAAATGAGGTCATGAAGAGTCAGACACAACTAAACAACAACACTTCTGGGCTACTCTCCCCAGCTTGAACTCTAAGGTTGATTTCCCAAGGCGTTCCCGAGTTCACTTTCCTAAAACTAGAGCTTATGAGCCCCCACTGGTGGACATGTATTTAATAGTCACCAAGTAGGCACAATTAACTCAAAGCATCAGAGATGAGATGGCAATCATCTGACGATGGTAATAAAACATTCTCTCCATAAGCCTGAAGCACATTCTTCCACAACTACACACAGCATTGGCAGGCCCAGATATAGAGTACATTAGTAGAGGGGCACACAAAAAGGGAATACATATGGGCAAGGCAAGTCACACCCCAACTCCACAGTGCTTCTAATTGTTCTTCCATGGTTTGCTTTCTTCTTAACTTGCAGACATCACATTCTTCAGAGCTGTCTCCTGCCACCAAGACTGTCATCAGTCCTTCAGCCAGCCAGTGGATGTCCATCCTTTAATTCTGTCAAGCTTGACTGAAGAACTTCTTAACACCTGGGAGTCTGTAATTTCACCAATTGAACCAGGGAAATTAGTTAGTCAACTGTGCCCTGATTAACTCGTCAACACCGCCCCCCTCCCCCACCCCCCCAATACGTTCTTTAGGAAATTACATAGAAGGATTTACAGAAAAGTATGGACAAGAATCCCATGTGGTTTTGGTTTTTTGCTTTGTTTTGTTTTTGTATGGGATGGGTTGCAATCTGAAAGGGTGAATTCATCAACATCTCTTTTCTAGCATGGCACTACTTATATTTTGGAAACACTTTTAGAGGTCGCCTCCTTCAACAAACGTTTACTGTGTACAGAGCCCTGTTATTAAGCTGGGGGGTGGGAAAGAGGCATACAAGATGAATAATCTCCAGATCTAAACTTAAGGAGCTGACTTCCCAGCAGAAAGCTTGTAGACTGGGGAGTTAAGATGGCCCATCAGGACACGCCGAGGCATCCGGTTCAGTTTGGAACTATTGACATTTCCTTCTATTGCCCCTTTCTCTTTCATAACGAGGCTTGTTTGCTTCATTTTCTCCGTGTCCAGATTGTTGCTGCTGTTTTACTAGAGCCTGTATTAGTAAGGGGAAAGCACTTGAATCCTGACAGGGCTGTGGGACAGTAAGCCATCTGCTTTAAATGTTGATGTAACCAGGGCCCTGATCCCCTGATCTAAGCATTTGTCAAAGCCACATTCCTACATACATATACACACATACATATACATGCATGCACACACAAACATACAGACGCATTTTATAGCAGCTTTTTTTGGTAGCCAAGAATTGGAAATTGAGGGGACGCCCATCAACTGGGGAATGGCTGAACAAGTTGTGATAAATTAATGTAATGGAATACTATTGTTCCATAAAAAGTGATGAGCAGGTGGATTTCAGAAAAACCTGGAAAGACTTGTATGGACTGATGCTGAGTGAAGTGAGCAGAACCAGGAGAACATTGTACACAGTAACAGCCACATTGTGGGATGACTGACTTTGATAGACTTAGCTCTTCTCAGCAATGCAAGGATCTAAGACTCCGAAAGATTCATGACGGAAAATACTATCCACATCCAGAAAGAATTTTGGAGTCTGAATGCAGATCGAAGCAGACTATTTGCTCTCTTTTTTGGCTTGTTTGTTTCCTTCTTCTTTCTCATGGTTCGTCCCATTGGTTCTAGTTCTTCTTTACAGCATGACTAATATGAAAATATGTTTAATATGAATGTATATGTACAACCTGCATCAGATTGCATATTGTCTTAGGGAGGTGGGGAGAGGAGGAAGAAGGAGAAAATTTAGAATCCAAACTCTTATGGAAGTGAATGTTGAAAACTAAAAATAAATTAATTAATTTTTTAAAACCACACAGACACATACCCTTACAAGTATACATACAAACACACATATGTGCACATGTACATACATACATGTGCGCACACACATGTTACTTGCACATACATGTACGTAATATGAATGTGCATGCAGATGTACACATGCAGACACAATGATATATGTGTATGCTAACCATTTCCATTCTGTTCTCAATACCAGCCAACCCCCAGGTTGGCAAGCAGTTCTGCTCTTCATCAGGATGGTTCTCAGGCAGCAAACACACAGTGGAAGCTTCAGGTGATAGATTCTTTTGGCCACAGCAATTCCAAAAGCCATCTCCAGAGGCACAGAAGGGTGGTGACATGAAAGGAGATGGAATATTCACATAGATGAAATCACAAACCCTTGAAGATTCATTTAGAAAATTATTTTCTTATTAATTTATTTTGATTTATCAATAATCACTTCCATATGCTTTTGAGTTTAAAATTTTTCTCCCCCTTCCTCCCCACCACCCTCCCCAAGATGGTACACAATCTGATATAGGCTATACATATACATTCCTATTAAACATATTTTCACATTAGTGATGTTTTAAGTAAAAATTAAAACCAATAGGAGGAACCATCAGAAAGAGGAAACAAAACTCAACGGAAGAGAAAAAAAATAGCAATTCAACTTCCATAGTTCTTTCTTTGGATGTGGATAGCATTTTCCATGACGAGGTCTCTGGAAATGTCTTAGATCCTTGTATTGCTGGGGAGGGTTAAGTTTATCAATATTAGCCATTGCACAATGTGGCTGTTACTGTGTACAACATTCTCTTGGTTCTGCTCACTTCACTCATCAGCAGACCATACAAGTCTTCCAGGTTTTTCTGAAGTCAACCTGTTCATCATTTCTTATAGCACAATTGTATTCCATTACATTCATATACCACAACTTGCTCAGCCATTCCCCAATTGATGGGCATCCTCTCAATTTCCAATTCTTTGCTACCACAAAAAGAGTTGCTATGAATATTTTTGTACATGTGGGTCCTTTTCCCATTTGTATAATCTCTTTGGGATATAGCCCTAGAAGTGCTATTGCTGGATCAAAGGGTATGCACATTTTTATAGCCCTTTGGGCATAGTTCTAAATTGTTCTCCAAAATGGATGGATCATTTCACAACTCCACCAACAATGCATTAGTGTTCCAACTTTCCCACATCTTCTCCAACATTTATCATTTTCCTGTTTTGTCATCTTGGCCAATCTGATAGGTGTGAATGTGGTACCTCAGAGTTGTTTTGATTTGCATTTCTCTAATCAATAATGATTTAGAACATTTTTTCATATGACTATAGATGGCTTTAATTTCTTCATCTGAAAACTCTCTGTTCATATCCTTTGACCATTTATCATTTGGGGAATGGCTTGTATTCTTATAAATTTGGCTTAATTCTCTATATATTTTAGAAAGAGGCCCTTATCAGAGAGACTGGTTGTAAAAATTCCTTCCCAATTTTCTAGCTTCCTTCTAATTTTAGTTGCATTGGTTTTGTTTGTGCAAAAACTTTTCAATTTAATGTAATCAAAATTATCCATTTTGCTTTTCATAGTGTTCTCTATCTCCTGTTTGGTCATGAATTCTTCTGTTCTCCATAGATCTGATAGGTAAACTATTCCTTGCTCTCCCAATTTGCTTATAGTATCAGCCTTTATATGTAAATCATGAACCCATTTTGACTTTTTTTTGGTATATGGTGTGAGATTTGGGTCTATGCGTAGTTTCTGCCATACTCTTTTCCAGTTTTCCCAGCAGTTTTTTCCAGAGTGGGTTCTTATCCCAGAAGCTGGGGTCTTTGGGTTTATCAAATAATAGATTGCTATAGTCGTCGTTGACTGCTGTGCCTTGCATATTGAACCTATTCCACTGATCCACCACTCTATTTCTTAGCCAGAACCAAGCAGTTTTGATGATTGCTGCTCATTTAGAAAATCTTTATATGTTCCTATTCAATCCCGTAAGATAAATAATACAAGTATTATGACATTATCCCCATTTAACAGATTGAGAAAATTGAGGCTTCAAAGGATGAAGTGACTTACCCATGTCTAATATTCTCTGTTCTGAAGTCCCTCCAAGCTCTGGCATTTTATGTTCTAAGGATTCTTCCAGTTCCAATATTCCACGTTTTAGGGACTCTTCTAGCCTTTAGAATCTACATCCTAAGGTTCGGTCCAGTTCTGCCATTCTCTGTTCTAAGTCCCCTTCCAGCTTTGACATTCTGTATTCCAAAGGGCCTTCAAGATCTGACATCCCATTTACTAACATTTTCCATTTCTTGCACATTCGTGTCCTCAGGAATGGTTACTTGGAGCAAGGCAGAGCCAACTCATAAATTCAATTCCTCCAGTTCCCAGCCCATTGGAATCCCTTTGCCTTATATGTTCCTGCATAATTAAACTGACTCTGTGACAGAGGTGGGGAAACAGGCTTTGGAACTCTACATCAGAGTGACATTAAGCTTTTTAATGCTTTTCAAAATCAGTCGATAAACACTTATTAAGCATCTACCACGTGCCAGGCACTGATCTAAGCTCTGAGGGCACAGAAAGACAAAACCAGTCCCTAATCTCAAAGAGCTCACAGACTAAGGGGAAGATAACACACAAACAACTAGGTAAAAACAAGATGCTGATGGGATAAATTGGAGAACACCAAGAGAGGGAAGGCATTTATAAGGAACCAGAAAAGACTTCCCTTCCTGAAGGTGGGATATACATGGGACTAATCCAGAATCACTGAATGATGATGAGGCATAGATTGGAAAAACTTGGGCTCAAACCTAAGCTTTGCCACTGTATGACCTTGGCTGGCTATGTCACCTCATCTTGCTATGAGCCTCGATTTCCTCATAGGGCTACTGTGAGGATCAAATGAGGTAATATATGTAAAGAGCTTCACAGACCTTAATGTGCTTATAAATGCTTGTTATCATTATTTTGAAGACCTGAGCTAGTGCGGTGGCCCAGTAAGTGGAAATAAAAGGATGGATGACAGACTCATGGAGGGGGGAGAGTTAAGATTTGATAACTCATTGGATTAGTGGTGGAGGAGGGGTAGAGGCAGAAGGGAGTGCTTTATTGGTGCTATTTAGTCATTTTCCTTCACGTCCAACTCTTTGTGACCCCATTTGGACTTTTCTTCACAAAGATACTAGAGTGATTTGTCTTCTGAGGAAACTGAGGCAAACAGGATTAAGTGACTTGCCCATGGTCACACAGCTAGTAAGTGTCTGAGGCTGTATTTGAACTCAGGTCCTCCTGAGAGAGAGGTGATAAAGGGTCTCAAGAAGGGCTAGGGCCATGTGAGTTAAGAGAAGAGGATGAGTAGGAGAGATGTTGTGAATTTAGAAATGTCGGGGTCCAACCATGCATTGGATCAATGGTATAAGAGGGAGGAATTCCAGGATGACGTAGAGTTTGCAAGTCTGGCTGATAGGCAAGATGGGGGGTGCCATACACGGTAATAGAAATGTTCAGGAGGGGTCTGGATTTGGAGGGAAGATAATCAGTTCAGTTTTGGACACGTTGAATTGGAGGTATCCAAAAGGAAGATGATGCTGCTGGACTGGAGCACAGAAGAGAGACTAGGGCTGGATGCATAGCATAGACCTGGACATCTTTGGTGTGGAGGTGCACCCAGGGAGCTGATCTCATCAACAAGAGAGAGTATGTGTTGGAAGAGAAGAGAACAAAGAAAAGAGAAGAGAAAGAAGAAGAGAAGAGAGAAT